TTCCGCCTGTGTTACTTCAGACGGAAATTTAAACTAGAAATTAACGAGGCTATTTTAATTTCTGTGATGTTGTCAGACTTTGATAGTTATGTTCATCGTCCTTATCTTGTAAAGGATTTTTCCTCAGAGGCTCATAGTTTGATGGTTCTTCGTAATTATGACCTAAATAAAGAAAGACACATGCCAACAAACTAAACAAACTAAAGGCACAAACTAAACTGACTTTATTTACATTGGAGAGCGTATGTACAAGCGATGATCCTTGTAGTCCAGTCAAATCACTATAAGTACATGGTCCTGATCAAAGTAATCGTAATAGATTTTTTTTAGTGGTAAAGTGTGTGAAAAGTTGTTCTGATTAACATATTAAAAATCCCAAAAAATGCCGTCGGTGGAACATGGTGAAAATCAAGTGTTTCTTACTTCTACCTATAGAAAAACATTGCGGACAAAATGTTGAAATTTTAAAATTATTTTTTTGCAAATATAACCTGCATCAGTGGAAAGCTTAGAAAAAACTAAATATAAATCATTAAACGGTTACCCTGCTTTTGCCGATCCAGCCGTAGTTATACAAGATTTAAAATGCCATAAATTTGTATTTTGTGCAAATTTTGCGCTATTTTTCCAACTTTGAGCTAGAATAACGACAAACTGACCAGTAAATTGAATATAGCGGTTTAATTGACCTCTATATAGTTTTTTTAAGCTTTCCAATAATGTAGGTTACATTTGCCTAAAAATGATTTCAAAATTTGAACATTCTGTCCACAATGGTTTTCTGTAGGTAGAAGTAAGAAAAACTTGATTTTCACCATGTTCTACCGAAGGGATTTTTTTTTTATTTTTAGTATGTTAATCAGGACGCATTCTCTCACATTTTACCACTGAGAAAAATTCTATTACAATTTCTTTGACCTTTGGTCACAGATTGATTGGACTATTGCTGGACCTCTAGGAAGAACAGTCTAGAACTGATAGAGCTATCCAGTATAAATAAAGTTAGTTTAATTTAGGTTTCCTCCTGTAGTAACAGTGAATCAATAAGAGATGATACTTACTTGACCTCTAGGAAGAACAGTTTAGAACTGATAGTACTATATTCAGTATAAATAAATGAGTTTTACTGGTCCGGACCTCAAGGAAGAACAGTTTAGAACCGATAGAGCTATCCAAGAATCATCTCTTATTGATCCAGTGTTACTACAGGAGGAAACCTAAACTAAACTGAATTACTTTATGTATACTGGATAGTTCCATCAGTTCCTAACTGTTCTCCCTAGAGGTCCAGTAAGAGTAATTTCTTTTATATCCAGTGTTATTACAGGAGGAAACCTAAACTAAACTAAATCTATTTATACTGGGTAGCTCTACCAGTTCTAAACTGTTCTCTTTTGCCAAATTTACCTGACAAATGTTCATTATTATTGTGTCTGGATGTCGGGAAGGACTTGTCAGAAATTACGTCATTGTGTATGCCACTCTTTGTCACTACTTCGTCATATGCGCCGATATCATTTCCTGTGGTTGCTCTTCTCTGTCCATCAATATTTTGTATTTTCAAATTTTTGTCTTGCATTCCAAACACGATGAAAATATTGACAAGTAAATAATTACATATTGCCGATGGTGTGGATTTAATAAAGAGATGAAGGAAAAAGGAAATACAGAGAACGAGAGATACCGAATACGACATGGATGATTTGTGAAAAAGAAGACCTACATATTACGAAATTGACGCTGGACATGACACGAGAGATGAAAGGGTAGAGGCAAGTTTTACTAACCTCTTCCTATCCTTACACAGGAACCCAACAATAATTCCAAGAACAACGTTGACGACAAGAGAGACAGAAAACAAAGCAATAAATATTTTGTTTGAGACGTTCGAGTTCGAACAGTCTTTATCTGAACTGGCGCTGGCGGTTGATTCTAAAATATTGACACACAACATAGTTAAATTTTCGAGTCAGTTCTATTGAAGATATAAGATTGTCTGATGATGATTTATTAGATTAGTAGGTTTTCTCATTAAATATTGCATTATATTATATAATTTGAATGTTTACATCAACACGAATCAAAAACTATGCACACATGACATTTTTTTTTTTTTTGTGTGTGTGTGTGTGTTGGTGTTATGCACTCAGGTGACTGGTGAACATGATGTTTGTGATGTTACTCTGAGCATGCGTCCACACCGGGCAAGCTGAAAAGTTTGCCTGATTACGGAGTGAATCAAAGGAACTAGAGTACTAGACTCAGTTCCGAAATATCATCAACTCGAACCGACTTGACCTCGTAGCTCAGTTGGCAGAGCATTGGACTAGTATCCTAAAGGTCGCGGGTTCGATTCCCACCGTGGTTAGGCAAACGTTTCAGCTTACCCGGTGTGGATATACACTCAAGTATCATCACAAACATTATACACACATATTACTAAAAATCTGCTTAATCCGTAATTGATACAATGAAATAGGTAAATTGTAAAATATACTTGGTTCTGTTGTTATTCCTGTTATCACTGTTACAGGCAAAGTTGTTTTTGTTGTTATCTGGTAAGATTTAGGTTGGCTGGAGGTCACTGTTTGCTCAGTTGGTGTGGAGACAGCATCTGCATAAAATGAAGCATTTAATATTGATTTATGCGCATAAGTACAGAGAAAAGATAATACTCAGATTGCCAATTGAGATCTACAGTGGGTAAGTACTAGAAAGACTTTGGAATAGGGATCACAGTACTCAATCATAAGAGAATTTAAACCATGTTGGCTGATGTCATCTCTTAAACATGCGACGAAAACACTAGAAAGGAGTTTCGAAACCTTGTGTCGTAAATGTCGTAGACCAGAGTTGCAAAACATATCACCGATGTTACAAGTTTTAACTGTCCTTGCAAGATCCTTGTGGCAAAACAAAACAGCGTAAATACATTCACAACTATCTCTCCTGGCCAAGGCTCGCAATATAAACACGACTGTTTACAATCGAATTTACGGGAGAGTTCAATATATCTTTTATATGTACATTATCTATTTAGTGTACCTGCTGGCCATGTCCCAAGAACCTTTGCTCGTAGACATTTTGTTGTGGAACTACTTGAGCCCAGGGTGCAGAAGAGACTGAGCGTAATTATACTGCCTTGCAAGGTTGGAACTGATCTTTTCCACTAGCAAAGGAAAATAAACAAATGTTAAACACAGTTAAAGAAAAAATTATGACGGTAGATTCCGTACCTTAAAATTTAATGTTTCGTTTGCGACTGCCAAGTCAACGTAAGATTCATCCAACCATTGCAGATCAATATCACTGGGGTTGTCTGGAAACTTTGCAAGCGCTTTCACTAAAGAACAACTAGTCAGTGCTACGTTTGTATTACTGAATCGCGTGGCTGGATCTTGGTGGGGGTGTGGTATACGTTGAAAAGGGCGAAATTCACAGCTCACGATTCCTCCTATGTGCATGGGATAAGATATGGATATGAATTATGAGTCAGGTCAGATAGATTTAACACGTATACCTCCGTCAACGTTTTAATAATTCAATCAATTTATGGTACAAAAAGATTGTGAAAAACTTTACATGTTTGGCTGTAAATTTGAATTGAATGATGAGCACTCACCAGCTCCAAGGCGAATACTCTCACTGTTTAAACAGCCATAATCTTTAGCACTAGTAGGTTTTCGAAAATTAGGTTGACCAACAGGGCACAAACACAAACCATCTGACTGACGACATGCTGTAGCGAAATCCGTACAAACACTTGTATCATTCGTACAACCATCTTTTCCAACACGGAAGCTGTCTGCAACATTTCGATTGACCAAAACCACTTCACAATCAGTTATAACCACTTTACACGACAAACAAATAATCAACACTAACGCCACTGTGCATTTTAAAGACATATTTAAAGACATATATGGTAACCACTTGGGGAAGAAAACAGGAATTCTTCAAATATTCTGTACAAGGTCGAGGACGAATTAGTCCATAACAGATATTTTGTTTACTATAAACCATTCTAATTTATTTGCATTTATAAACACTTTTTCTTCAATAAAGTAAAACAGCATGATATCAGATTTTGTGGCCACCAGACCATACCCTCAACTCATGAGAAATAGATTTTCATTTACACGTTTTGAGCGACAAATCTTTTCTCACTTCCTGACAAAGAGCTTTTACTCGAAACGTCAATGTGGTTTCACGTAGTTCGGACACAAACACGGAGGTTTGAATGAAGTCTAAACAATTCTGGATATACTGTGTAAGCGGAGTATAATAACAGTTTTATTATTCATTATGTGACTTTAATGAATATTGAATAAAAGAAACAAAAATTGAAAACGAGCACTAGCCATTGCAAGTAATTTAAAATTCAGCGTTAAAATCGTTATCGTCAAACGATAATTTTCGTTGTAGTGTGGACACCAACATAATTTTTTTGCCAATTATGTATCATGTGTTTACAAGTTATCCTATCGTTATAGTTGTGCAGTGTGACCGAGCCTTAAGAGATGGTAATGTTCTAACGAAACTCTTACTATTATTAAGTGAAAGCTGTCTTCTATATGATCGATGTGTTGTGGGAGATGTGTTGTTTTTGTCTAAAAGAAATGTTGCCAATGGTTGCCAATGGTTTAGAAACCCATAGATTCTTGAAAACTGTCAAGGGGAGCTATAATCTTTGATTTCAAACAGTTGTCTTCATTTCTAAAAAGGAAGAGTATGTTAACGACTAAATTATTACAAATTGTTCATGTTTGTGTGTCTGAGTGTGTCTCTATGTATTTGTCTTTCAGCACAATAACTTAAAAATATAATACAAAATTTTGTGGGACTATTGTGGACAAATTGATTAAGTTTTGTTTAAATTTGGATGAAGAATTAGCAATAGTTTGTCTTGCTTTTCCTGGGCAAAGTAAATCGACTGAATGCGTAATGTTTGCATGATACATAACTTAATGCGCTGACGGTGGTAATGCAGGCTACGAATGTCCTCTAGTATTGTATATGATATAAATTTATGGTACAGTAGGACATACCAGGGAAGATGATATAGGTATGTACAAGTAATGATAAGAAACGAAGGATAGCTGCTCAGAGACATTATGGAATGAAGAGATCAGAAGAAGATGTGAGGTAGTAGACATTGTAGAGAAGGTGAGGGAAGCAAGGTTGAGATGGTATGGACACGTAATAAGAAGAGATGAAAGAGAGTTGGTCAGAGATATTATGGAATGAAGAGATCAGAAGAAGATGTGAGGTAGTAGACATTGCAGAGAAGGTGAGGGAAGCAAGGTTGAGATGACATGGACACGTAATAAGAAGAGATGAAAGAGAGCTGGTCAGAGACATTATGGAATGAAGAGATCAGAAGAAGATGTGAGGTAGTAGACATTGCAGAGAAGGTGAGGGGAGCAAGGTTGAGATGACATGGACACGTAATAAGAAGAGATGAAAGAGAGCTGGTCAGAGACATTATGGAATGAAGAGATCAGAAGAAGATGTGAGGTAGTAGACATTGCAGAGAAGGTGAGGGGAGCAAGGTTGAGATGACATGGACACGTAATAAGAAGAGATGAAAGAGAGCTGGTCAGAGACATTATGGAATGAAGAGATCAGAAGAAGATGTGAGGTAGTAGACATTGCAGAGAAGGTGAGGGGAGCAAGGTTGAGATGACATGGACACGTAATAAGAAGAGATGAAAGAGAGCTGGTCAGAGACATTATGGAATGAAGAGATCAGAAGAAGATGTGAGGTAGTAGACATTGCAGAGAAGGTGAGGGGAGCAAGGTTGAGATGACATGGACACGTAATAAGAAGAGATGAAAGAGAGCTGGTCAGAGACATTATGGAATGAAGAGATCAGAAGAAGATGTGAGGTAGTAGACATTGCAGAGAAGGTGAGGGGAGCAAGGTTGAGATGACATGGACACGTAATAAGAAGAGATGAAAGAGAGCTGGTCAGAGACATTATGGAATGAAGAGATCAGAAGAAGATGTGAGGTAGTAGACATTGCAGAGAAGGTGAGGGGAGCAAGGTTGAGATGACATGGACACGTAATAAGAAGAGATGAAAGAGAGCTGGTCAGAGACATTATGGAATGAAGAGATCAGAAGAAGATGTGAGGTA